TTTTTTGTTTTTTTAATACTTGCAACATTTTTCTAAAATGAAAATGTCACAATACTTGCAACGTACTATAATTGAAAAGTTATTTTGGAGAAAAGTTGTACTATTTTCCTTATTTAAAGCACACGTCCCACTAAATTATAATCCTAACAATCTCTTACCTATTTTTAAAGTGTATTACATCATGTGAACCCCACTTTTTTTTTTAAATACCATAAAAAATGTACTATGTTACAACTATTAAAAATTGGAGGAAATATATGATTGATCACTAGTACAAGATAACCAAATACCCATGCATGTATGATATAATACAGGTGAGAAAATAATAATACATGGGTATGTGACAAAGACAAAGAATCAAAGATTATTAGATATTACTAGAACAATTTGTCTTAAGCTAGTGATTGAAATGAAAGCCAATGAATGTCGTCTTTGTCATTTACTATTGACCATTTCTGGTGTGAGATATTCCGTGCCAACAGTTATAGTTGTGATTTGACAGGACTCGAAGTTTCAAGACCAATCTGTTTCCTCCAACCCCTAGCCTTATTAGTTTGTCACTGACATTTTCACTAATTTATTACGTATAACTTTTCCATCTCCGCCATGCAATACATGGAGTACACAATGTCCTCCCTCTTATTTTTTACCCTTTTATCCAATCCAATGCAACTTGAAAATGTGTGAATTCTATTGTGGTAAAAGGAGACAAATCTATATTAAAACGGGCGAATAAATTTATTTTACTGAAGAGTATATACCTTTCGCATTTATGATGGATATCAACAACCTAAAATAAGTTATTACTAATACTAACATTATATTGCGAGTAAAACTAAAAATATTTATGTCAATAAAATAACTTGACAAAAATAGATCGCTCCACTCTTGAATATCGTTATATACATTCGATCAGGTGCAAGTTACATCAAAGGCTATTTTTTGTTCGTGTAGTATTGTTGCTCATTAAAATCTTAAAATGAATGGGAAAAAAAAAAATCAAACAAGCAAATATTACCGTTGGTTACACCTTTCTACCTCTATGTGCACTTGAGTGTATGTAAAAGATTCCGCTCCACTTCCTCGTTCCCTCTTCTTTCTTTCCCTCTTATGCTATTATTCACTTGCTATCCAACTTGGATCGTGAACAGGGTTAAAGAGAAAATATATAACGGGACGATTTAAAAATGGTAGGGGTAGGGACAATTTTAAAATGGTAGGGGTATGTGAAAGAACTAATCCTTTCTTAGATTCTTACACGATTTTTGGCTAACCCACTCTTGGCCAATTAACTACAACCACCATTAGCTAGCTTAAGCACCCCAATCACAAACGATACCGTTGCCCGACTAGCTTAGCTACCAGGCCTACCCCTACGTACCGTCATCCTTTATATGGCACAACTAACACTATTGTACTAACACCAACAAATCGGCCAGTCCTTACCGCCATCATCCTCGCGACCTCGGCCACCGCACCATCACCATCACCATCACCCCCAGCTACTTCATGTATACCAACACCAATCTCACAGCCCAGGCAATAATAACTAACATAAACAGAATGTCAGTACAAAATATAAACAGCAAAGGATGTATGAAATAAATAAAGTTAAAAGAATTTACTACGAGTACGTATATAAACTCTTTAATTTTCATAACCAAAACAAATGTAATACTATTAACATACATCCACATTTTGTCTTTTGTTCTGCTCTATATAAAATGCAGATCTTAAGGACCATTGCTTATTAACTATTAAGTACCTTACAATTCTCATACTTTAATCATGTCATGTGTGCCAATTCTTCAAAACCAGCGTTATTTTGGATTATTTTTCTGGTTTCATTAATATCAAGTGAATATCTTAGGTTTACAAAGTACCTATTTCTTCTATGGAATTGTAATGTCTCAAGCAGTCAAGTGAGAAAATTATTAACTGACGCATCAAAACTTGTTGTCCGATCGCGAGCTCAGGAACAAAGCTTATTCTTAGCTATGTGATTTAAATTTATAAGCTCATTGTGAAAGTACAGTTTTGTGATTTAGGTTTTGTGTTTGATGGAGGTGTGTGGAATATAAAAAACGAAACATAGATCATATATATATGCGATGAATAAGAGGGTAAAGAAGAAGAATAATAATGCATATATGTAGTCTAGTCAACATGTATTACTTTATGAGACAGGAAATATTATTTTAGAGGATAGAGATATATAATAGGCTCGATCTTTTATAAGTTAAGTCACATCTTACTATCTTAGCTTGAATGAACTTTTATTGGCGACTTTGTGCATGCACTTCATTTTTTTACATTATGATTCTTTTAGGAAAACCCTAATTTATTTGAAAATTTTAAGGTACAGTCGCCTGTACCTAGCAAGTTACAAGCAAAAAACGCGAAAAGAACATGTAACAGTTTTTTAAAGAACATAAAACTGTTTTGTAAAGAACATAAAACTATTTTGTAAAGAACATATAACTGTTTTGTAAAGACCATCCAATTTTATGTTTTTTTTATACATCTAAAGAACATCCCTAATATTTATAAAGAACATGAAAATATTATGTAATGAACATGATTTATGTATATTCACCATAATTTAAAAAAAAAAATAAAAAAATAAAGAACATTTCACAATAAGTAATTAACATTATATCACAAATAAAAGTACATTACACTGACAATTAAAGAACATGAACATATGTTCTTTTCATTCTTTTTTAATATAAATATGTTCTTTTTACTTTAGATATGTGTTCATTACTTTTTAATAGTATGTTCTTTTCATTACAACAGTATGTTCTTTACATGTGTGTAATATGTTCTTTTCGCGAAACGACTGTACGATGCAAGGTACCAACGCCTGTAGGAACCACACATCGTAATTTATTCAATTTACAAGTGGTAACACAAAAATTGTCACAAGCAACGATATATATAGGCACGACAAATACAAGTTTATCTGCCACATAAACAATTTTTTGTTAATTTGGTGACATTTCTGTAAATATATTAAAAAAAACATGGTCATTTATTTAGTATTTTTGGTGAGCTGTCCAATTACTGTTCACAACTTGCATTTCTGTTTGGTGAGGAAATTACACATGTACTCCTCAACTAGTACATTAGAAGACGCATGTACCCCTTCACTTGTACTTGAAAAGACAATTCTACCATCAGATAAACAAATTTTGTTTATGTGGGGAATTAACTGGACACAACTCATATAGGCATGTCACACAAACGCGAAACCGAAACATGATAAGTTAATTTAGGGGGATTATTATCTGATCTACCCAACAACCCAAGGGTTCATTTTGTGGATAGTCTCTATTGAATGAGAAGGTCTTTAATAATAATATACCTCGTTATGTCCATCGCATGGCACTTCATTTGTAAATCCAAAATGCTAGTGGTTTTGTTATGAGAAATGACGAGCTACTCAATGGAGTCTATGTTAATTAGTGCAATGAGCTTGAAGATGTTGCGAGCAATATACAATCAAGACAAGATTGTAATTGTACTTGATGATTACCTTGAGAATGCTACCCACTTTTTTTTGGTTGACGCGGTACGTACGGTGTCGTGGCAACCTGGTTCTTGTTAGAGCTGATTATGCCTTGAAACCTAAATAAATGATGCAACACAAGGGCCTTGCCTACTTCAAATTTTTAAGAGAGTAATGTATACACTTATAAAATTTCTTGATTCAAACCTAACTTAATTTTGTAATCTCTATTCCCGGATCGAGATCAAATAAACCATATTCTTATTTGCTTGGGATGTAACTAGGTTATGTTCTGTTTACCTTATTTCCACTTATTTCAGGGTTAATAAGTTCAGATAAGGGTTAATAAATTGAGATAAGTTCAAATAAGATAAGTTAAGGAAAAATAAGTTTAGATAAGTTGTGATAAGGGTTAATTAGGGATTTAGGGCTGCCAATTTTAATTTATAACTAAAATAAATTCTAATAAGGGTTAATAAGTTCAGATAAGTAAAAATCAAGTGAATAAAATACACCAACATATTATTCATGACCTACGTTTCTTTTTATCCTAATTTTTAGAAATTTTATAATCCTTTTTAGATCTGTTACATCATTTTTATTACCACCTTCATTACGTATTATTTGCAATGATTAGACATTTTTCCTATCTACTTTATGTCAAATCGTTGCAAATAATATATAACGGAGGTAGTATGTTATTATCGCGTTTTATGTCCGGTAGGCACTAGACTAGGCCATCCCATTTTCAAGCCTAGGAGTAGGAGATAGGATTGACATTCAAAACTAAAAGTTGATCCTCATCAATAATCCTTTTAATCCTCATGTTTTTGTTACCGTACTTGGGGAAGGGGTGGGGGTAATAAAGATTAGGGGTGAAAATGACAATTTTATAACCCATTGATTCTAGAACCAAAAGTAAAAGAAGTTAGTAAGGGATATTCACAACTTTATTATTTTATTCACAATTTATTCATATTGTGTACCATACTACCATGCAATAATGAAATTGAAATCATCCCAATCCTCTTCCTTCTTCTCATTGTCTAATCCTCAAATTGTCAATACTACAAAAAATTCCTCATAATTTATATGGGAATTTCTTTATTACAATATCACCTTTTATACAATTATGGTGCAAATGAATTTAATATTCTCCAAGTTTAAAGACTTATTAAGGCTCACATAAGGAGTATATATGAAATATGTCTTGTATGTTTTGAAATTTTCATCACTTCTTCTCCCAAAAGGCTATATATACTGCATATTTACTATTTAGTTATTGTTCTTTTTTAAATTTATTTCTATAACATTTCATTTGGTGTAGATGATTATTTGAAAACCATCTCAAATATGATTACATGTTTTTATTTACCATCTTGTTTCAACCCTCGTTAAAAATAGATGACATGGAAAAAAAAACGAAAAGATAAATAGATATTATACAAGTATATGATCAATAAATAACTTTTTGTAAAATAAGACTTGCTTTTCCACACAATTTGTCATTGATATGTCATGACTTAATTATTTTTGTCAAAAAATCACTTTTTAATTCACTTCTTTGTCAACTTTAAGGATTATTCATTCCTTTATTGAATAAATTCTCTAAATGCTTTGAACTACATACACAATTGTGGCATTGTTAAGAAAAAAATAACATATGCAATTAAGACATGATCTTGTGCATGGGGTAGCAATTTCTAATGGAGAATCATCAAAATATTGGGTCAACATGCGTTGCCAAACTATTGTCGTTGATCTTCTCTTGAGACTTTTTAAGGCTAAACAAGCTTTTCTTGTAAAAGTTTGCATTCGTAATCTTAACCCATCTCGTAAAAGCTTGGAGGACTGCAAGAACAAGAAAAGATAATTTATTAAATGTTTCGTCATCTTCTCCCTCAGCCTATATATCGAATTAATTACGGAGTATCACATTATTAGTTCAAGTTACACACTCAGAATCACTATTAGTTCTGGATGGTGAGAATGTTTACTTAGATTGTTGCTAGCTAAGTTTGATCAAAATACATCATGTCATGTTGAAGTAAAGATTTTACTAAATTAGAAGAAAGTTAGAACATTTCACTAAACAAATGTGAAAATTTGGAGATCCATAATTACTACATTTATTAAAATATTGATTAATGAAACAAGCCTATAATTCCTAGAGGTTAGAAAGAAACACAGCACACAAGCATAATTATTTTTCCAATCAATAATAAAGTCTTAAAACATTATTATCTATCCACTTTTTACATATTTGTAAATCTAAAGTCAGTTTATATCACCTTTAACATCCCATCCATACATATACATTCATACATAAAATATGTATAATTAAATTTGGCATCACCAAATTCAAATTTTAAATCATTATTGAACATAATTGCACCAACCAGTAACAAAATTAAAAAAAGAAATTTTCTACTGGTAGCTAGCTTAAATTTTTCTAACCCATCACCACATATTATATGAAATAATAGAAATATATGTAAATGAATTAAATCATGGTACACATATATTATTATGCCACATTAATGAAAAATAAAAAAACTACTAATACTAATGATAATTAATAATTAATAATACTAATTAGGACGGAACCTTTGCCTGCAGGTGTGGCAAGTGATCTCGCCCATGCAAGTAGTAGCCGTATCCCTAAGTCTTTCCGCCTTACAAACTTCTTCTCTAGCCTTATCCCACATGGCTCGAGCTCGAGCGAACTCGGAGTGAGCTAACTCTATCTCTCTCCGAGTTAGCTCTCTAACTCGCTCAGCGTATGCCTTCTCAATGGCAGCCAGCCGTATTTGCTCGGCCGCCTGCCACTTGAGCGCGTCGATACAGCCGTAATCGGCTGCCTCGGCTGGCTCTAGGCTTATTGAGAGTTTCAAGTCTAGGGAGGGCCCACTCTGGGCACTCCCATGACCATGATGATGATGATGATCAATATCGTCATCACCACCGTTGTCGATGGAGTAAGGCGGCCGGTACAAAGGCGGCCGCGATCGATTACAGTGGTGATGGAACCAAGGGAGAGCACGTGAGGAGGATGAGGGAGCGGGATGAGGAGGTGGGGGTGGCAGAAGTTGGAGCTCTTTTTGATGATCTAACTCTTTTTCCATGTGGGGAGGGACGAAGATTTTTATTTCTTCTTTATTTCTTCTTTTTACTTTTTTAACAAGGACAAAGAAAAAGGAGGGAAGAAGAGAAGGTTTTTATTTATTTTTGGTCTAGTTCATATTCCTAGTTAAGGGGTGTTAGAAATGACCTCTATATATAAAAACTTTGGCAAAGCATGGTGTATTAAATTACGTAAATACCCTTTTTTGGTTGCCTTCTAACTACAATGATAGCTTAAGGTACTTGACCAACTCTCATCAAATAATGTAAGTGTAGGCAGGAATCTAGGGGAGTTCTCTTCCTCTAGTAGTACTATACGTACTCCTACGGATGAAACTTGTGGGTTAGGTTATTTTGGGTGTTTTGAATCATTTCTAATACATACTCATTAAGATGATAGATTCAATTTGAATTGAGGAAGTTTGGAATATATCAAAAGAGTTATAGGATTCCAAAATGAGCTATTGTTATATTACAATTACATTCAAATTTGATTGCTCGATTGAGTCATTAAAAAAATCTAGTGTTTAGCGCTATACCTACAATTTAACATTATAATTTCTCAAAAATTCAAAGTATTATGATAAGGAAAGAAAACTAGGGTGCTTAATTAGAAGAGCAACATTTATGTGCGTCCGCCACACCGTGTGGCCAGCTGACACATACACCAAGTAACTCCTAATTGACAAGTAACTTCTGACAGACCGAGTAACCCCTGACCAACTTAGTAACCCATGACCGAGTGAGTAAATTCTGACCGACTTAGTAACCCCTGACCTAGTAAGTAACCTCTATAGCACTAATAATGTAACCCCCATAATGGTTGGCCACATAGTGTAGCCTGCAACATATAAAAGGAGCTACTCTTGGTGAATATCCTATATTAACAACAACTAACTTATGTTAATATCAACAATAAAAAAAAATATAAATAAAATAAAAAAATGAAAAGCTATTTTTTTTTTTTTCATCTTCTTCCTCCCAGCGCAAACAAAGTAGCACACCACCATCACCACACTTGCTTCTTTTTCACTCCACACTTGCTTCTTTTTCACTTTATGAATACCGGCTAGATGGCGGCTTCGTTGCCAAACTTAAAGAAAACCCTAAGAAATAATACATAGATTAGGGGAGTGTTAGAATATATCACTACAAGAAATAAGCTATTTTGCGATAGCCAAAATCTGTCGCAAAAATAGCAAAAACCGTCACAAAAAATAGTTGCGACAGTCAACTGTCGTAAATAGTTTGTCGTTGAATCAATTGCCGTAAAATTTCATTTTAACGCAGTTTGCCTGTCGTAAAATTTTTTCTATGATGGTTTTATTAATTTCAACGATAGTTTAATTTTTTGTCATCACTGTAATTAATCCGCGACAGCTTAAAACCGTCGCAACAACTACGCCAACCATGAAAATTGTCGCAAAAAGCCGTCGCAAAAAAAAAAATACGAAACCCCCAACCCAGCCACAAAATCCCTCCTTGAATTAGTAACCGCCACCGAAAACCACCAAATTAACCCACAAAAGACATTAAAACCCATAAACAACCCTAGATCTGAAATTAAACCAAAAAAATCCAACAATAATCCAACAACCACAAATTAACAAGATCAAACAAATTTCAAAAAAAAAAGAATAAACGGAAAAATAAAAAAATGGCAAATAAACAAAAACCACAATAATAAAAACAAAAAAATACTAAATATTTAACGTACCTTCAAAAATTCACAAAAAATTAAACAAAAAATGAAAGAAAAAGCATAAATTATCTAAATAGTACAAATTTGAACAAAAAGGCCACAATAAATCAAAAGAAAATAAAGGAAACATAACAAAATCAAACGAAAAATGAACGAAAACAACAGGAAAATAGATGGGAAAAAAAGTCAAACGAACAACAAATGAAAAATTAAAAAAGGCAATACTAACACAAAATAATGAATTTAGACAAAAAATATTAGAATATAAACAAAAACCACAATAACAAAAACGGAAAAAAAAAAACAAACAAAACAAAACAAAAAATTTAACATACCTTCGAAAATTTCCTTTTCGTTGGGTGTTGATTGTCAAATTCGACCATAAAAACTCTAGATCTGGAATTTGTATGCTCGAATTTGACAAAAAAAACCTCAATGTCACAAAATATAACCTCAAACACATGAATTTCACTTGGCCACCTTCTCCGTTATTTTTAATGCGAGAAAGAGCGGAAAGGAGGATGAGAAACAGAGGAAAAGAGGATGAGAAACAGAGAGGAGATAGAAAAAGAGAGAAAAGAGAGGGGGAGAAAAGGGGAAAAGATCAGACTAAGAGAAAATCTGGAAGAGGAGAGAGGATAGAGGAGAGAGGAGAGAGAAGATGAAACAAGAAAGGAGAAATGAGGGCGGAAAGTATTAGGGTTTGGTGTGGGATTAGCTTGTTGGGTATTTAAACACCCATTAAAAAAATTTAATTCTACGATAGCCATAAACTGTCGCAAAACTGTTGCAAATTACGATCGTTTTGAAAACCGTCGTAATTTGCGACAGTTTATTACTGTCGTAAATATTAATTTTTTATAATTATTTTTACTGTCTATTGCGACAGTTTTATTGGCCAAAACCGTCGTAAATCAACGACAGTTTGCAAAACCGTCGTAACATTACGACGACTACTAAAAATGTCGTGAAATTAAAAAATTGCGACAGTTTTGCTAGATGTCGTAGAAAAACTGTCGTTATTTGCCTGGATTCTAGTAGTGTATATATATATTGATTTTGTATATATCTCTATGTTAGTTAAGTGTATATTTAGAGTATGTCCTTTCCTAGTTTGTTAGTGTAATCATAGCCTAAGATTGCTATTGTAATTTGTTTAAAACCTTTGTACTTCTAATGAGAATACTCAACGATTATAATCTTTCATTGTATCAGTTTAGGGTTTCGATCCTTTGTTATTCTTTCCCTATCAATAGCCCATCCTTTCCGATCCTCTTCTTCTTCCCCTTCTTTCTTCTTCTTCCGCTGCACACTTTCCATGGCCGAGTCAACCAAATATCATCCTGCTTCTTTGATCATCATGAATGTGAAATCTCTTATCCCTATCACGTCGGATGCCGACCATGGGATGTATCACTCTTGGGATGCACTATTCAACGTACTCTGTAGGGTTCATGATCTTATCAATCATATAATTCCTCTTACGGAGAAGAAGTTAATAGCTGCGTATGAAGCATCCAAAACTGTTGACCTTATTACCTTTTGGAATCGCCTAGATGCTACAGTATTTAATTGGATTTACGGATCCATTCAACCGACCTCCTCACTGCTCAAGGTGCTTGGGCTCATCTCGAGTCCATATTCTAAAATAACAAAGCATCTAGAGCCTTCCATCTCGAATAAGAGCTCACTGACCTTGACTTAGAAAATTTCTCATCTATTGACGGCCATTGTAATCACATCAAATCGACGATCGTCTTGCGGATGTTGATGCTTCGATTCCTGATACCTGTAGACACCTAAAAATGTCTCCCCAAAACCAAACCCGATGATGAACAACCTTTCACCGCCATTATTGGTCGGGTTGAGTATTTAACTTTTGGAGTGCTTAAATCCATATTTCCATTTCATAAACCAACCCAATTCCTAGCCCATTTCCCCAAAACATAACTTATTTTCCTCTTTTCGTGCCTTTAAATCCAAAATAATTCATTTCGTGTCCTTTAAAATCATTCATTTCGTGTCCTTTTTATAAAAACGTTTGAACCAGTTTATTTTGGTCCATAATCTGGGTCCAATGATTGAATAGTTGGATGGGGCTTGAAAAGAGCTTTCCAACGATATATTATAATCCCCGGCAATGGAGCCAAAATTTGATAGGTTGTCGTACACCTGTCAAAAATAAATTCCTAATAAAACCAACTAACAATGTAGTAGGGTAAGTAGGGTCGAATTCACAGGGAGATGGTATTCAATCTAACCTCTAAGAAATTGGAGAAACTAAACTATGTCATGAAATTGGGATAGGGAAGTAGTCTAAATTAAAATAGGAATAAAACAATTGATAAAAAGACCTAGGGTTGTGGTTCACCATGCTTATAGTTCTAAATCTATCAAATATCAATAACAATTTAATCAATCAATTATCTAGAGCAATTGCTAAGCCTACGGTCGGGTCTTAACCTCTCAATTCAACATATGTAGTTCGGTCGCTAACATAATCAGAATTGCTAATTGTAGGTAAGCCTCTAAAAGTAAGATCTTTCGATTCAAACTCTTATTAACAAAAGTTAATCAAACAATTGATCAGGTTGCAAGATTAACAATAAAACACTATCGATTAGAGAAATCAATAATCAAAATATTAAAATTATCAATCAAGATTCATAATATAAACATGGATTCCCAAACCCTAGAAATAAACTACTCAAACATGGAAGAAATAATTAAACTAGATCTAAGGAATTAAACATAATTAAAAATAAGAGATATAAATAAAATACCTCAATGAATTGAAATAATAAACCCAAGAATCATCCATGGAATAATCCATGGAGATTCCATGAGAAACTAGGGTTCAAGAGAAAACTCAAAAGAACGTAAAAATAATAAAAGATATAAAAACATAAAAAAGCATAAGGGAAAAATAATATCACTTGGAGTATTTATATTATCATAAAACTAATCAAAAGATAAATAAATAAATAAAATATAAGAAATTAAAATAAAAAATGTACAATTAAAGGAGTCGTAGTCGATCAAGGATTGTTGCGATGATGGAAAACAAGGCTCGGAGAGTTGGAGATGACCTGCTGCTGCTGGGCGCGGAAACCAGCGGCCTGTCACGGGTCATCTCCCACACCAAGGATGGGCGTCAAGAGGGTCACTAGGAAGCAAGGCAACAATCGGGGCTAGGGGGCTTGCCTTGGTGCTCAGGTAAGCACTTCCCCCTAAAGAGCTTTATATTGCACCTTGCTTAAAATCCTAGTGAACACCCACTTGACAGTAACACAATAATGGGTCGTTTGGAGACCCAAATGAAGTCCAAATGGGCCCAAATTTGGGGGTCCGCCGTATTTTGGGCCAAGGAAGACGATGGTGGTGTCAGTTTTCCGAGACAAGGTCCCAAAATACAAGTTTGTGCAGCAGGTAGCTCGGGAAACGCGGGAAGCTTCTAGAAGGTTCCAGAGCTATCTACGGAGTTCTTTTGGAGGAGTATTCTAGAGAGGATGTCTCTAGAATATTCAAGGTTCATCCAGTGCATCTTAGAAGTCTCTAGGGCCTTCTATGTATGTAAATTTTGAATGTAAAGTTCTAGAATGTTCTAGGTT